TGTAAGTTAACTTTTTACAACACATTTTGCATTTAAAATCATAAGTGAGCTTGAATTCTAATCCCTCCATCATTAAAAGGACTTTCAGACACCTCTACATCTGAATAAAAGAACCAAACAAAGGTTAAGGAACAGTGGTGTCCAGGGGTGGCCAAGGCCCACACAGGGAATACCCCCCCCCCCCCCCCCCAAATATTTTTCATGTTCACACCTGCCACCTTCATCTCATTTAATCAAGACATACATGTATAAAACAATAAATAAATTGATAATTAATAAATTCATAAAATGTCATAATAAAAAATATTTACGTTGCTGTTGTTCGCCATTCTGGATGCTTTTGTCAAGACGGCAACAGGTGAATTTAACTGTTCTAAAAGGCTAAAACAGCTCATTTTAGAACAAAGATAATTGAAATTATTGAAATAGTAAATTCTTTTATTGTTTCTCAAATTTGAAGTTAATCTTTTGGCTGCATATCGTTTTTAATGAAAAGAAGTGAAGAAGCAATACAGTGCACCAGAGTTATTCACAAAGACAAACCTGGTGTGCCTCCCTAAATATTTCACTGGTCCCCCAAAATAAAGTTTTCTAGGGGTGCCCCTGTTAAGGAGTAGATTAGATGATTTTTTTTATCCAAACAAAAGTGAACCCAAAATAAGTTTCAATTACAAGAATCTTAAAAATTTGAGTTAACTCTGTGATATCCATGTAAAATATTTTTGATATGAAACAATGTAGATCAATGATTAAAAAACGAAGGAGCTAAGTTAAATTCAGCTTAATTGGTTTTGGATCTCTTGCATAAAAGTTAGATAGTTTCACCTTTTAGTTGAAAATGAAGACCAGAATTAACATTAAAGCTCTCAAAACCACCTTTTTGATTTTATTCGTCTATTTTGACAAGTTCCTGTCTCTATTCTCGGTGAGGGTGAGTCTCAGTGTAGAAGATTAATACTTATCTTTCATCATCCAGCTCAGTTTCTCTCCTCTAATCACTGCTTTATATAAACGCACTACATTCATGGCATTGTGATTTCCAAAAGCCCTCTCTAGCAGGTTACTTTCTATCCAGAATTGGAGCTTAGGGGAAAAAAAAATCCCCAATTTCTTCAATTTGTTTGTGTTTTCTTGTTTGTTCTCAGCTCTATTATTTGGGATTTTGATGCTTTGCACCAGCTTGAGAATTGATTTTTGAGCGAAATGTTCCAACTCAGAGCTGCATTTTAAGAATGACGATAATGATTCCCAATTGCAGGTAGATTCACGACTAAAGTAGCTCTTCAGATGCAAGTTATCACCTAAGCAGGTATTTGAAGATGCCCGTTGTCTCTGGTTGGTGTTTACGTGGCTCAGAAAGTGGACAGATATTTAAAATTTCACTTTAAAGGAGAACAACCACTTGCCTGCAGCTGCCATTTTGGTAAAGGTGCTGAAGCACAGTGCATGTATTGATTTTAATCCTTACAAAGCTCCTCTGAAGATTAACAAACTTGTTCTATCCTGTTTAAAGAAAGGTCACTCTCAGGAAGGAGTTTCATTTTATGCTCCGCGTTGACCACAAGCGAACAAATTTTCTCCCAGTAAGACCAAGCACGATGAAAGCATATTTAGATTTTATCACGGTTGCTTCTCAGAAACCAGATTTAAACTGTTGCTTTTCTTAATGCACTCAACCTCGCATGAACTCAGCATTATGCAACTGTGATTGATTACTCATAAAAGCAGCCTATGTGGCCTTGGCACCGACGCTTAATGAAACTCAGCACCCCGTTGCTGTTTATGCCAGACTCTTATGCAAGCCGAGGACACTGAGTAAAGGGATCTAGGATCGTTAAAGCTTCATAACACATGTAGTGTAGGCAAATCGATGATTTTTATTTGTTATGACCAGGAAGATGTAATATTCTATGTAAATATAAGATATTAACTTGCTCGGTCTTTATTGTAATTATCAGAAGATTCTAGGATTTAATTCAGAAGATCTAGTTTCTTTGCTTTTTTAGTGATCAACCACACTTTGTGTTACTTCAAGAAAGAGTCAGGTTTATAAAACTAAGAATTTATTTTGCAAACAATTAAAACATGACTAATTAACTAAGTATTTACTGTGAGTGGATGTAACTAAACGTGATGAAGGAATCTGTGTGTGAATGCGATGTCAGTCAGAGCTTCCTTATCAAAGTAAGCTGAGTTCTGGTGAAAAGAATTTGGTTTGCTCTAAGCTATAAAGTTGTTATCATCAGAAGCACATCAGACGCAATCTGTCATGTCTACTTCACCCGTTTTTGAGAGACCCTCTTGGTGGATCCGAAAGTCGCAGGGGTCGGCTGACCTCTGGCACCGGAGGGGTGTAGAATACCGTGGTACCGACTCTTCAGTCCAGAGATGTCTCGGGTCACAACAGCTGGATGGAACCGTGCGTCTGGCGGACTCTTAAGGAGTCTAACAATATCGGCTTTGTTTCTGCAGGAACTGTTTGCTCATCAGCTTTGCCGGTGCAAAAAAGGTTTTGACGACGTGTCAAAATCTTTGATGGTTAAAGAGGTTTACTACTGGTGGCCGGCCTGAAGCGATTCTCTAGAGCTGTCGAATCACTCAGGATGATCCCGTTTTAAGGTTTTGATGTTATGATTTGCACAGCCAATCAAAGGCTGACAGGTTTGAGAGATGTTACCAAGACAACTCTGAAGCACGCCTTCTTGACACAGGACGTTCTGACTGGTTTAAACGTCTCTGTGATGGAGTTTAACTTAACCTTACTTGTTATTGTGTGAGTGCAGATGTGAGGACCTCGTCGTCTAAACATGAACACATGGCAGTCTCTGTAGACATAACATAACAATTATTGAACACAGATTAATGAAGCATTTCAGTACAATATAATGATTGTACGTAGCAATAAACAAATGTTATTTAAGGATTATCTAGATTATAAGTCATGGAAGAAGTTCATATTGAATTAGGAAGTCATTCTTGAATTCAGCAGTTGATTCGAGCTGGAGTTCTTCCTTCTGTGGGGGCAGATGGGACCTTGGGGAGAAAGTTTATTGTTTACTTTTGTTATCTGTCAGAGCTGCAGAGTCTGTGTTCCAGCTGGTAAGGAGTCAGCTCATTTAAAGGGAACACATGCAGAGTTGTGTCTTCTTTCTGACCAGATGTTGAATAGCTGTTGAAAGGTCAGACTTTACCTCAAACTGACCATTGCTGGACGTTACACACAACTCAACAGCTCTGTCTGTGTCTGCTTGTTTCACTTTCCCCGAGTAATGCAGCAAATAATGACACCGTCTGCTTTGGAGTTTGGATGGGAGTGCCGTACAATCGGCTTGCCTTTTCGTCTCGTGCCAGGCTAAACTGGTTTACCAGCTTAAGATGGCCAAAGACTCAGAGGGCTCAGAGAAACCCTGATCTGCTGAGAAACACGGCTCTCATCAGTCAACACCAATCCTGACTCTAATTGTGTTTCCTTGTGGCACAGAGACAATAAAAGCACTTTACTTCCAACATTACTGGAGCACTTAGTTTGTGCAGAATTAGTAGTAATATTTTAGACTAAACATCAGATGCCTTCTGTGTTTGGTGCAATGTGTCAACTTGCTAGTGGGCATGCAAAACGTTGCAACTGCTTAACGTGAGTGTGTTAACAGATAAAACATAAATTATGGGTCTATTTTTAGAATGCTCAATATTGACTTTTTTACCGATATTGTCTGACTCTTCATTTGCAATACCGATATGAACCGATACCGATATATGATGTTAGGTTACTATAATGCATTCTTAAATTTAAAACATTTTTTAGTGCAACGTAAGCCATGGGTGAAGTTCTTGTTTTAGTTTTATTTTATTTTTTATTTTTTTGCTGTGTAGCTATGAGGACAGTGTACATTCACTACAAAGGAATTTCTACATTAAGTTGTGCCACATAAACTGAAAATTCTCAAACTTTACCTCAGATCTGTCATATTTTGACATTTTGAGAGAGAGGAGAAGTAGCTGAAGAGTTTGATGTATAATATGCTTACGGTATGTAAAGATTGTGTCATTAAAAGATTGAAAGCCAATACAGATATTTTCCAATAATACATTTTAATGCCAATATCTGTTGATATTAATGGTAGACCGATCATTTTGGATATCGCTGATATATATAATAAATTCATTTATTGTACATCTCAATTTGTTAGTAATAAATATGTCACTTCAAATAGAGTGATAAGTAGAGATTGACCGATATGGGTTTCCTATTGCAGATACTGATGCGACGTCTGCTGCTGATTTTGGGGCAGTTTGTATGCAAATGACACTAATAACAGCTGGCACACAACGTTTTTTAACCTGAATCAGTTTTAGCCTAGTAAAACTTAACCTTTACCATTATCAACTACACAACATAGCAGAACACATTCAGGCATGTGTTATTTGTGGCGATAAAGCATCAACATTGCAGAGAGAATGGATGCAGTGGAAGAGTTGCGTTGCTGTTAGCCAATCAGAGGCGAGATGTCCAAATATCACGAAGGTTAATGTGTAAGACTCCAGATCCTTCCATTTTCGGTCCCTTACTCCTCTAGCTACCTTCTACTTCCCTGAAACGGGAGAGCGAGAGCTTTTTTCCACAAAAACGACTCACAAGCCATTCATTTAATCTGAAGAATTCAAACTACAGACCATGGCAGATTTATTGAAAAAACTAGTGAATGAGAGCTTTAATTAAAGTTACACACAAATAAATTCACCATGTATTAAATACAAAATGGGTAAATAAAAATAAATGTCAGTTTACGTTGTTTTAAAGCCTGAGCAGGTGTTTTTAAGGTACATAAATTTTGGCAGCAGCACCAGGCTGCCCGCAGATGTGTCTGATTCTATCGGCCGATGCAGTTTTAAAATTGTAAAAAAAAATAAAAACAGATAAACGGGTATTTTTCTACTATATACAGTGTTTGTTGACTTGTTTTGTTGTTACTGACCTAAGCTCTTTATGTGTTTTACAGAATGAAAAGCCCCTGGGTCATTCAGCAAGCAGGTCCAGCAATATATCAAAGGTAAGTGAAGCACAAACAGGGAAAAAAATAAATAAAATTACATATATACCTGCAGCTTGGCTTCATCATTGACAAAATACAGCCAAGGGGTCTAAGTGAAGATAAAAAAACAAATCCTTTCTTCTTTCATTGTCCAAATCAGCTTTGCTTTCTGTGTGTCATCCCTTCTCTTCCTCCCTCCCATCAGTATCAGCCTGCTTAGAATGAGGTGCCACGGTTTCAGTCCATGCTCTCCTGAGCCTCTTAGAAGATAAACCCTTTACTTGTACTAATAGATGTCAGGGTTATTTTGTCACAGAGGGACAACCGGCAGTAATAATGTTTGATTCACAAGCCACTCGCTCTTTAAACGTGAGCAACGCAGCAGTTAATGCACCCGAGTGGCAAATTTACGGATCATTTTCTGGGGAACGGCCGACATAAATACTGTAGCTGGAGACCGTGCACCGGCGCCATTATTAAAGGAGCACCACGGAAACCGATGCTTCAGAAACCACCTGATTAAAATCCTGATTTGTAAAACTCCTAAAATTATTTTGTGCTTCAACAGCTGCAGGTTTAATCATCTGAGCTGATTGGATATCTAATTTAATATAACACACGTTTTAATGCACCAGATTGAGATTGTGGTTTTAATCTGTGCATTACTTTTCATAAGAATAAAGCAGCTAGTCCAAAGAATCCAAAATAATAAAAAAAATCATTGTTTATAAAGGTCAAAGTGGGTAATGATTCCAGGCCTAGATAGTATTTCTGCCTTGCTGTCAGTCTGTCTGTGACCTTTAGAAGCTGATAAAACTAGTTCGTGACAATGAAACTTAGGCTGGTGTTTTCCACCACTTGTTTACTTAGTGAGAAGTGACTCTGTGCTTCTTACTTTCAGTTTAACGAGGAAACTCGGTCTGATCAAGTTGCAGATATGTTAAATATTGCTAAAGGGAACTGGACTTTGTTTTACTAACATATTACAGATGCTTACCAGGGTTTGTCAAACAAGCAACCTAACTTCAGTTCACTTTATTTATATGGCGCCAAATCATGACAAGAGTTGTCTCAAGGCACTTCGTAAAGTAAATGTTCCAATACAGTTCCGTTCATTCAGCCAATCAGTAAAATGTTTCCAATAAAAGGAACCTAGCAAATCGCATGGACTAGTGTCTAACTAACTTATAATTCTAGTCATAATCAAAAAAAATTTTTTTTTTTACTTTTTAGCATTTAATCCTTGTAAAGGATTAAAGGCCAAGTTTACTGAGAAAACGTTATTTTACTTGTTTGTGAAGTGTGATTGCTTTCTGAGTTTCACATGCAGGCTAAATGTGCATTAGCCGCCAATAGAAATTAGACGGGGAAATGCTCGGATTACACAAACATGACAAATGTACTTCATGTTGAATTCATGTACTCGCCCGTCTTGGCTCATTAGTGGGGAAGGCTGTTGTTGATTCAGCATCCGGGAAAGAGCAGAGAAAGTTAAAGCTAACCGCTAGCAATAGCAACTCCACCACACGGCAGAACTCCTTCAGGTTTTTGTTTTTTGTGGAAATAAAACGTCAACTTTGTAGAGCAAACTGAGTCAGTGGTAGTCTCGTTGCTGTTAGCCAATCAGGGGAGATGTCTGAATATCAGAAAATATGAGTCCAAATCAAGCCCCCACAAAGTTTTTTTTATTTTCATTTTTTATAATAATTCTGGTATGAAAATTAAGCCAACACGGAACTGACATAAATTGCAGTTCCACCCTCATCCACTGGGGGCTGGTGTCAGATGTGAGCAAATCCTCATTGACTCCCATGTTAAAAATACCAATTTCACAGCAGAAGTAAACATGTCTACAGCCTGGTTCCAAAACATGTTTTTGGTTTAAATTATCTAGTTTACACTCATGACAACTCTTAGGGGGGTGAACTTTTTTCTCACTCTTCTGTTTAAGTGTATTAAATGCCTAAAATTCTGAATAATTAAGGAGCATCAGACCCACGTGACCGCAGAGCTAGCTCCGGGGAAAGGCCTCAGCCTGAGCCTCGGCCTCGCCTGAAAACTGTTCCGCGATTTTCCGTCTCTCAACTTAGACCATTAGTTTTAGCGTTTCTGCGTTCTTTTTTGGACATTATTTGTGCAATTGGTACAAAATGACTTGCTGTGGCATTAACTGCACTAATAGAGCGTCCAAGGAGTCTCCACTTCATTTTTTTTTTGTAATTAAAATTATATTTATGTATTTATGTAGATGATTTTAGGTCACAGCTGCTCTTGCACTAGCTGAGCTTAGATTTTAACATGTACTGTTTAACCATGAAATTTAAATGTAATAGGGTAAAACCCAGAGCATTAAACATAACACTGCATTTTTGAAAATGGGTTGAAATATAACATGTTGGTGGAGCTGGGTTCCGACTATCGGTATGGTCCCCTCCCCTCAGCTGCAGCTCGGTGCATCTCTGATCACGGCGCCTGTCTGCTGCGCGGCTGCCGGCTTGTCAGCTCTCGGGAGACCTCTGTGTTCCACCCGGTTCTCCCCAGCGGTCAGCCCGGCGTATCTCTGTCTCAGAAGCTCCGGTGTTGTGCACAGTTTGTGCACAGTTAACTCCGGTTGTAGCTAGGTAGCTACCTCCGTTAGCTTAGCTCCCACCTCCGTGTTAGCTTTGGGTTAGCTTGTAGCTACATCACTTCAGTTTGACAGGTGTCGTCAGTTGAGCCCAGCTTTACAGCCCCACCCTCAGCTCCACCTCTTTTCCCTTTTTTGGAATTGCCTGGGCTTGATGGAACCTGTGACACGGTCAAAATGGCGGTGGTGGGAACCTCCAATTTTGGCACAAAAACTTATAATTGGAGCCTATGGACACGAATTGTCCAGTACATATGTCGGTGGTCCAAATCCTGCCGTGTTCTGCCCCCCTCTGCTCTGGCTGAACTTTGGTTCCTGAAACAGGAGCACCAGAGCTTTTTCCCCAAGAGATTGACTCAAGACGCATTCATTTATACTAGAGACCACTGCAGATGTCTTGAAAAAACAAGTAAACTTGGTCTTTAAGCAAACTGACAATAAGTTGCAATTTATCAAATAAATAATGACTACTTGTGTCTTCTCAGTGCTGCAGATTTGAAATACTGTCTGACTTGCATGAGGCTCACTCCCTTTAAAACTCACTCATTGGCTACTTTAGTAGGACCTGGTTGCGCCAAACTGCTTTAAATCTTTATATCAGATTCAACAAGGTGGTGGAAACGATCTTCAAAGGTTCTGGTTCATACTGACATGTCAGCATCACACAATTGCATCCATGATGGGAATCTCCTGGTCCACCATGTCCTAAAGGTTCTGGACCGTATATAGATCTGGAGACTGTGGAGGCCGTTTTAATCCAGATGGTAGAAGCTAACCATTAGCTTTAGCTACTCCACAACATGACTGAACACATCCAGGCTTGAGTTATTTGTGGAGATAAAAACATTCAAATGTTTCTCAACAAAGACTAGAAAATGGAAGCAGTAGAAGAGTTGCATTGCTGTCAACCAATCAAAGGCGAGAAGTTTGCATGTTGTGAATATTAATGTGTAAGACTTCAAATCTTGCCATTTTCTGCACCACCACTAAATAACTTCCTCAAGCAAGAGCAACAGAATTTTTTTTTTCACAGAAAATGACCACAGCAAATGAAATTAAATAGTGTTTGCCCTCTTAAACAATACTTGGCAACTTTTTCACATTTTTAAATCATTTTCTTGAGCCAGTCTGTGCTAAAATGACCCTTTACAGCAGGCGTGGGGAACCCTGGTCGTCGAGGGCCGGTATTCTTCATGTCTTTGCTCCAACACTTCTGACTGAGGCCCTGTCCACACGTAGCCGGGGATCTGCCAAAACGTAGATATTTTTATACGTTTTGGCCTGTCATCCACACGAAAACTGAGTTTTTTTCACATGAAAACGGATCTTTTTAAAAACTCCGGCCAAAGTGAAGATCTGCGTTTTCTCCGTTTTGGGTGTCTGCGTGTGGACGGACAAAACCGGAGTTTTAAGGTCCGCAACGTCACTTTCCGCGACAAAAAAATGCTGACATCATGTGTGCGACCTGTGTTTACACTAGCCGGCATCATGGATGCCCTCACAGCTGCGCTCTGTCACTACCCGATCCATCAATTGTCCAAGCGCTTTCTGCTTGTTTGTTTTTGCAAGCGGAATTACTGCTCCTTGCGGAAGACCACAGACGAAGGATGAAGTTAAGAACGGGGGAAGTACTGCCACCTACAGGTCTGGCATGTCCTTAACAACGGATTTATCCGGGTACTTGTGGACAGTTTGTTTTTAAAACGAGGTGGTGTGGATGCAAGTTTTTGGAGGGGCGGATATTCGTTTTCAAAAAACCCCGGCTACGTGTGGACTAGGCCTCAGTGGTTGATTCACCTGTTCAGCAGCTCATCAGGCTCTGCAAAAGCCTCTTAATCACCTGCTGATTGAAATCAGGTGTGTTGAAGCAGGGTTGAAACTAAAACATGCTGGTTGGACCAGGGTTCCCCACCCCTGCATTACAGGGTTAACGAAAGGCCACCCAGCCCCTATCGCCCCATGTGGCCAAAATATTCCGCTTGCAATTTCAAACTGGTGGGCCGCTCTGTTAGGACTTTAGAAAAAATTGAGCTGCCAGTGAGCTGACATACCTGGCACTGCAGTCTGCTTCCAGCACGTTTCCTGCGTGTTTTAGATCATGAGCACAGCTGATTTGTTTAATTTGGTGATGAATCACTCCTGTTGACACTAAGGAAGGCTGGGAGACATTTTAGCTGTTGGATTAAAGGTATGGCGGAGGATGTTTCTGAATTTCGCCCTCCACGTTTTGAGAAAAATGCGCATGAGAGACATTGCCCAGTTATCCTCGTGCTCGCCCTGTTTACAGGTAGCTGCTGTCCTTGCAGCACTTCTTCTAGCAGAAATTTGAAATGAATTTCTCCACATAGCATACCGAACTTTAGCTTGCCTGTTGAGCAGAAAACCGGCACAG